AGGGTTTAGGGTTTTAGGGTTTCCAGGTTCGTAAGTGCAGTTCGCTGTCTATAATAATTATCATTGTCACCGCATCTGTGGTGAAGATGATTACTGTTATTAGTACTACTAGTTCTTGTGCCGATTGTTCTTTGTATCACTAGAGTTATTCAACCCTAACCCCTAAAACCCCTAAATCCGAATCCCCGAAACCCTGAACCCTAAACAGCTGAGGACGCAGGGTCCTTGTACATGCAGAAGGTGGACAGCGAGGTGCCCTCCTTTGAGGGTTTGGGGTTTTGGGGTTTAGGGGCTTTGGGGGTTTAGGGAAGTTTAGGGTTTAGGAAGTTTAGGACTAAACCCTGAAGCCCTAAAGCTTGCGGGCCTTTCCGGCTCCCGTCCGGGATCAGCTTGTCCCTAAACCCTAAACCACCCAGGGGCTTTTAGGGTTTTAGTGTGGAGATTTAGGGGGTTTAATCAGGGGGTTGGTAGTGTCAAGTGGACTGCACCGAGTTCACGAGGTAAGTCTGGGCATTTGAGGCTTTGAAGTACCCTAAACTGATCACCGCAGCCCAATACCCTAAACCCTAAACCCTAGGGTTTAGGGTTTAGGGTGGTTTTTGAAGCCTTGATTTGGGATTTAGTGTCGTGGGGTTTGGTGGCTTCCGAGATTCGGTTTCAAGGAGGGGTTCGAAGGCTGATAAGGATTCAATATAGGGGTCGGAAGAATTACAAACATGAGTCCTTCGGCTTCCTCATTATAAGAATCTACTATGATCTACCTCCCCAAAACCCTATTCTAGGTATGCAGGCCTCTCTATTCGGTCAGCAGCTTTTTTTGATCTGCTGCGCACCAGATGGTGCCATCCAACACCTCTACCCTGAAATCCTACAACCCTAAACCCTATTAACCCTATAAGCCCTATAAGCCCTATAAGCGCTATAAACCCTATAAGCCCTATAAACCCTATAAACCCTATAAACCCTAAACAACCCCCGAAGCCTGCACCCTAACGCCTGAAAAATCCCTGCGCCGCAAAAGGAGCCCGACCCCCCTAAACCCGAAACCTACTATAGGAGCCTGAATAAGTACTATAACACTATTTTAGGGTTTGGGGTTTAGGGGACTATTTTAGGGGCATATGGTGGTATAATGTACCCCAAGACCCTATTCTAACCCACAAGGCCCCTACAGTACATTGTTTCCACTTTTGTTCCATGCAGCCTGCATCGCAAAGCACATCATGCCGGGGTTCTTCTCGATGTGTTCCCTTCTTCTCATCTTTGACAGTTGAGACCCCACCTGATACCAATCTGATACCCTACCCAGAGAGCCCCAAACCCCTTAGTTAATATACCTTCAACTATAGAGGTGCCTCAATACTATGATTAAGGGGTATTGGGCTCTCTGGGTAAGACCGTGAGGCAAATGCGTGACACTTCTGACAAAAAAAACGTAGAAAACCTCGGAAGCCGGAGCATGAACTGAAGCTGGATACCCTATAGTAAGTTTGTAGGAACCCTTAGAGGAACCCTTGAATAGGCCCTCACAGCTGGAGACTGCGATCATCCTACCCTGCATAGGGCTCATTAAGGAGTCCTGAAAGGACTGCTTGCAGGTGCCCTCAAATTCAGGATATAGGTTTAAGGCTTGGCGTTCTTCAGGCTGGCTCTTAGGACTTTAGCTTTTGGGGTTTCTCTTTGAACTATAACACAAGTAGGCTGAAAGTTTAAGTTTTAGGAGGGGTTCAAAAGTCGGCCAAGAAGGTGTTACAGAATACGGAAGCTCTAAGCCCTGAACTTTTAAAACGCCAAACCCTAAACCCTCGCCGGCCCTTTCAGAACCTAAACCTTCAACCCCAAACCCTAAGCCAAAAACCGGCCCTTCAGGTGGTCACGACGATTTGCATGGTGGTTCTGTGGGTCATGAGTCTCTCTGCAGTTCTGGCGGGCCTGATCTTTGGAGCTGCTCGCATGTACGCTGTAAAAGTTTCCGTAGAGGTTTAGGGTTTAGAGTACAGTATAGAATTCAGTTCGGAGTTTGGGTGTTTAGGGTTTCATAGACCTACAGGGGGTATAGGGTCTCAGCTTTGTAGGGGTTTAGGGGTAGGAGCTTCGCGGGATTCTGCTTTTAGGGCCTTATGAACCAAGCTGTTTAGGGTGACCATGCAAGCCAAACCCCAAATCTTAAGGCCTAAGCCCTGACCCCTAAGCCCTATATTATGCGCCCCAAACCCTAAGCCCTAAACCCTGAACCCTAAGCTAGACCACAAGCCCAGACCGCAAGCCCCAACAGCTACAGGAACACAAGGGTTTTACATTACAGTATAAGAGCGTATCAGACGTTTCGAATTCTGCAGAAGATATGCTCGGGTTGCGGGGGCTTTGCGATTGCAGGTGCAGGCTCTGTATTTTGGAGGGCTTGTGTTGTTGTGTGGTGCATGGTTTGAGAGCCTCCATTACTGTTTACTTACACTGTCTGTACTTTAGATTTCAGCGATTTAGGGTTTTGGCCCACTGTCGTCTATAGATCTCATGCTTACGTACGAAGCTGACTGGCGACATTGCAGGTCCTGCAGCATAGAAACAGTGGAGTTCTTGGATCTCCATGCAGTTATGAGGCTACCCGATGTTTAGGGAACTGGAGTGCAACACAAATTAACCATATAGACACTAAACTGACAGGAAGGAGCTAGTTGCGATGGTTTCTCAGCCCTAAAAGGCCCTAAACCCTAAACCTTAAACCCTAGAGCCTAAACTCAGACCCGAACCCCAAACCCTAAACTCAGACCCTAAGCCCTAGACCCTAACCCCTAAACGGCTCTAAACTCTTCACCCTTAAACCATAGTAAGCGCTCTGCACTACCCCTCTCCCAATCCCTGCGGCCGCAAAAATGGAATAGTACAGGGGCCTTAATAATTAGGGTTTAGGATTTAGGGTTATGTTGTACTATTATTCTAATAAGGAACTACTGGTCTGGGGTTTTAGGGTTCTGGACTGGCAAGGGCTACTCCTTTTGGGCTCGCAATTCGGTTTCGGATTCCGGCTTCAAATCGGTTTAGGTTTCCATCATTTCCGAAGGCCGATACCATCAAGGCAAGCTTCAAGATCGGTGACATGACATGATGCCTCAGGTTGGAAAGCACTTGAAGGTGAACTACAAGAAGCGCTTTCAATTCTTCCTGTGCCACTTGGCAAGACGCATTTGTGACGTTGAGCTTCAGTAGCTTTGGGAATCAGCCGTTTCTAGTGAAACAAAGTTTGTCCAGGGTTGGTGAACCCTGAATCCTAAACTCCAACCGAATTCCTAAGCCCTATGAACCCTAAAACTTGTAGACTCGTACGATGTAAAACCATGCGGCCAAGCCGTATAGGCACAACAGCAACCTTGCAAAGACCTCTATGCCCTAACACCTAAACCCGAAAAGCCTAAACCCCAAACCTACACCCTAAACCCTAAGCCCTAAACCCAAGCTAAACCCTACCCTAAACCCAACCCTACCCTAAACCCTATAACCAGGCCACCACAAGAAGTCCTCCGGCGCTTTGGCGCGCCTCCTGAAGATGAGCCTTGGCAGCCACGGGGACGTTTGGGGTTTAAGGCTCACCTGGACCCCCCTTTTTAGGGCTCCAGGTTAGGATTTCCTTATACAGGTCCTTAAAAAGGTAGGTTCTTTGGGGTCTAGGCGGGCCTTGGATCAATACGGAGTTTTCAATGGGTTTGCAGTAGTGTCACTCTACTGTCATATACCCCAAGACCCAATACCAATTATGAAGGCCCCAACCATTCCTGCATTTTCATAAAAACATAGGGTTTGGGGATTTTCCGTTATCTGTGATTTTAGATGGTCTCTGTAACTGTTGCTTCTTGCAGGGCTTGGGTTTTAGGGTTACTGCTGTGAGGGCTTTCGGTCATTTCGGGTTCAGGGCTTATGTGGGAACCTAAGTCGTCTGTTGGAAACAATTTCCTCAAATTGCAGAGGGGCCAGTGGTGTTGACCTTTCCGGTTACAAGGGTTGGGGGCCGGGTGGGGCGTAAGGGCTTCGGCTCTGGGGTGGAGATTAGCCATACGAAGCTTACAAAACATGTGATATTCACCATGTTCTCGGTGACTCTGGTGATCACGCTGAAAGACCAGCTTGTACCTTTGTCAACATCCGCATCATGCCATGTCTGCGCTGCTTATCATTATGAAAGGCGAGCATGCCGGCTCGAGCCGGTTCGAGACATCACCACAGGGGTAACCTACCTTTGGTTAGTAGGGAATGGAAGAATGGTAGTAATAGTACTTATAATAGTTCCCATTCCTCCATTCCCTACTAACCAAAGGTAAGGTAAAGCCGTGGTTATGCTCGTGATGCCAACAACGGAACAGCCATCGCGGAAATGTTTGCAACATCAGGGCGACTCAGTGTGTGGAACGACATGACTCGTTGAAGTAATGCCAGTGCCCACAATCAGCACAACATGTGGCAGAGCTCTGGAGGAAGCTTTTCCTTGAAGCGATGCCAGATTGCATCTTTTCTGACGCACTATGAGTTGACTTACTGCCGGAGGGTTTCAGCACCACTTGCATCCTTTGCAGAGCAATCCATGTTTTGCTGTGCGTGCCCAACCTATGTTGTAAATGCAGGTAAATGCAGCAATGACATTGTTTTGCGACATTGAAAGGTAGGTCCAGGAACTAGTGTCTCGGCAAGCCAACTCCTGCACGCAAGAGTCATTCTTTTCAGGTATTCGTGGATTTAGGGATTGTAATTTCATTTGGAGTGTCCTTCACGGCCGCGTCCACACTACGCAGGGACTCTCTAACGAAATCCGTGTCCATGCCGTCATACCTGTCCAGAATGCTTCTCTCCCAGAAGGTTAGCAACCTCTCATCGAGGAGAAGTTTGTATGCTTCGAGGCTTGGGTATTGAAGTTTAGGATTTAGGACTAGCCCAGACAGGAGTTAGAGAAAGGCCGGAAAATGTTTTGGGATGTACCTGCCCGGTGAAATCAACGCAATGCTTCCGACAATCCAGAACTGCCCGAAACCGGAGTCTTTGCCAAGGACCTTGGCGCCCCTTAAAGAGACGGAGGGAGGCGGAGACGTCTTCGTTGATTGCGACGACCTCACAGACTTGACCAGGCAGCATGCGGTTTAGGGTTTAGGGTTTGGGTTTAGGGTTTAGGGCCATCATGTTTTAAGGGGCACATAGAGTTACGGTATTGACAATTGACAAAAGCAGGCTCGACCTCGAAGTGCAAAAAATAGTTTGGACATGACTCCAGCAATCTCGTGAGCAACATTTCTTGTGGGGCGCAACTTGTCAGAAGTCCCAGCAGGGTGGCCAGTTGCTGTAAGGTTGGAGCCGTACTAGGCGTTGCGATAAACCCTTCAGAATTCCCCACGCTTATTTTGTGTCAGCAGACCTCTATGTGCAGCTTCAGATTCCACCACAGCCGGCCTGCAGCAAGTCCGCAAGTTACACCCTCAAGGGTTCAGGGTTGAGAGTTGACGCAAGGCCTACACGTGCTGGAAGCTCAAAGCCCTACAGCCTGAACACTAGAAGCAGGCGACGTCGAGATTTTTCCAAAAAGCACCTGCCGAAATTCATGTTTACGGAAAGCAGCGTGCCGACTAGTGGGCTGGTGACCGCAATCAGACTGAGCTTGATCTTGCGAGTGTCGTTTGAAAGCGGCCTATGTTGGGTTCCTAATGGCACCGTCATGGTGACTATGTGACTATGCCGGCACTGGCCAGATCTTCGGGTCTTACATGCCACGGATGCTAAGGGCCTAGGATTTGTAGTTTGGGTTCCGGTTGTATGTTGTTTATGAGACCCTAAACCCTAAACCCAAACCCTAAACCCCTAAACCCTAAGCCCCTAAACCCTAAACCCTAAACCGTATTCAAAAGGCATTGGGGCCTCGGGCCGGTCCCAAGACCAGCACATGCTTTTTCTTCAAGGCTCTTGGTGCGGGTTTTGTTTTCTGTATTGGTGGCTCCAGGTTACTTTTGGGCCTTTTGGGTATAGGGACCTCCCAAAAAAAATGATGTTCCGTCTGCTTGCTTGCCTTCGAGTAGTGTGCCCTGAAAGTTCGACCCACTTCTTCGGTTCAGTTCGGCTCTAGGGCTGGCCAGGGTCGTTGTAAAACGGCCGGGGGTACAGCTCATGTCGTCAAAAACTCGTTTAAGCTTTAGTATTTAGGGTGTAGGGCTAGAGGGCAATCCGTCAATCCTAAACAAGAAGCCCCTAATCATCACAGGCTCTTCGGGTATGTGGCGCACGAGACAGCGACATTCGTGATCTTGGGCAGCCCACACGTCCTTACGCGCAAATGGCGCCCTGGCCCGTTTGGCCCCCCCTCCTCGGTTTAGGGCTTAGGGATGTTTAGGGATAAAAAATCGAAATAGTCGGCGCCGTAGGCCTTGATGAGTGATGTCGTGTCACGCCCAAAGCTTACCGGAGTCTTGCTGCCTACTTGGTACAGGCCTAACTCATTAGGCTAAGGATCTAGAGAGGGTTGCATCCACTCTAGATCTAGGACATTTTCAGGTGGGTAGTTACCGTTATAGGAGCCTTATAGAAGGTCTATATACCTTATAGAAGCCTTATTGAAGCCCTATATACCCTAAACTCCCCACCTGTAGTTTCCTTTAACTAGAAGCCTGCCGACTATGGAACTCTGAAAGCTAGGGCATCACCTGAACCAAAGAACCTACCTTTTCAAGGACTTCTAAACGGAATTCTTCAAGAAGAAGCCCTAAAACTGTAGCTATCTTGGGGCCCAGATATGGTATTAATCAGATATTGATACCTCATGAACACCCAAAACCCAAAACCCTAAACCACTCGCACTTAAAAAAAAACCCTAAACCCTAAACCCTGAACCCTAAATTGATACCTCATGAACACCCATATCAAGCTTCCGTCGCAGAGTTCACTCCTCGGCTCTGTGCGAAGCCGGAGAATGTTTGCAATCTCTTAGGCGGGTTGAGGGTTTAGGGTTTAGGGCTTTCTTCAGAGAGACCTCGTTCAACAAAAAAAGGGTTTTAGGGTTTAGGTTCTAGGGTTTAGGTCTTTTAGGGGGTTGAGGGTTTAGGGACGCATCTCCTCTGCAATCCCTTGACTCTACATGCAAACAGCCGCCTGTTGCGTTACTGACTAGAGCCTCGCCGATTCTGGGGACATTATCTTTCAAGAGTGCAGGTTCAGATGTGCCTAACAGCGCAGTCCCTGGCTCTAAAGCACTATTTGAAGGGCAACTAGGGTTATAAACAAGGCAGCTACACTTATAACGAGATATAACATCAGTTAAGGTACTTGTAACTGTACTTACTAAGTCCCGCGAACCTCCAATTGTGCCTGCAGTAACCCAAAAAAACCGATAGAAACCCTTATAGGTCCCTTTAAAGGAGTCCTTTATAAGGCTACTAGATCCCATGAACCTCGAAGTACCCTAAGCCCTAAACCCCAGCCCCGACACCCCTATAGAACCTTTGCAAAAACCTTTACAGAGCCCTGCAAAGCAGGTGCATCGGAGAGATGGCAACCGCCCGAGTGCACGGCGTCGAGACGGTCCTCCTGGCTCCTGGGTCTTCGATGGCTAGGCTTTAGGGTTTAGGGTTTTAGGAACCCTTAACCCCTAGTTTGTCCATAGGGTACACAGATGGTATCTACGTGGGCCTTTAAGTAGTCCTTACACAGAGACTTTGGTGCCAGGCACCAGTGCATGTACGATTTGGGTTGTTCGAAACCCTGAACTAGACTCGGATTGCAAAACCGCAAGCCCAAGGAGGCTCCGCGGGCCCAAAAAGAAATTTTCTGGGGCCCGAAGTACCTGTGAGGTTTGGGGTTAGGGTTTAGGGTTTAGAGTTTAGGGGTTTAGGGTAAGGAGGCATTTCAGTCACGGAGAGTTCGTTCAAAAAGGGTTTAGGGTTTAGGGGTTTGAGGCTTCAAGCCCATGCTGAAAAAAAGACCTGCGGAGCTGTGGTGCATGGTGTTGGTGTTCATTTGTAGTCTTGAAGCTGGAATGTCAGTAATGCTATCTCTTTGGGGTTCATCATTATATCATGTTATGATATGCCCACTCAGACCCTATTCTATCTGTAGAGCCCCTATTAATAGGATTGCTTTTGAGGCGTTTCGGGCTTGGGTTTTGGAATGTACGCCCGACGTCTCAAACTGGGGTGCAGGTTGAGGGTTTAGGGTGCCTTCCCGACCCTTTGCCACTTCGATGTGAACATGATGTATTCAACTCATGGGTTCAGAGATTGGGGCTTAGGGTGGAGGTGGAGTGTGGAGGAGCATAGCCTGGACTCGCGGTGAGCCTTTGCCTGGCTATGCCGAAAATGAAAATCCAACCCCGCAGTCCTACCTAAACTTAAGCCCCAGCCCGAACTCCTAAACCCAAAACCCTCGACTCGGAAAAACAAGAATAAAGCCAGAAAGAGCCGCACTCCATAAAGCCCAAAAGCCGGCGATCTGCAAGCACCCCTGGAGCCACCAAGGCCTGTCCCTAAACCCTGAAGGTTTAGGGTTTAGGCAAGCCCTACCTGCAAACCCAAACCCTACAAGATAGTCGGCTATGACCCCTTTATTCTTCTTATAGGGTCTATATCACCGGAAGCAGCAGGTTTGAAGGATTTGGGGTAAACCCTAAACTAGCCCCAACCAAGGCATATCCCGAATATGTCAAGCCGAGCGAGCAGATGATCGCAACATGGCCGCACAGCCGGGGTTTAGGGTTTAGGGTTCTAAACCCTACACTCTTATGGTCTTGACTTGTGTAGAACAGGATGCCTGTAAGGCTTCATTGAGTTGTCTACAGGGTTTCAGTCGGCTTTGGGGATTAGGATGTGGAGGTCGTGTGCGCAACCTGAAACAAGCCCCATGGTGCGTTTCGACATATCCTAAACCCCAAGGGCCGAAGCCCCAAAAACCCCAAGGGCCGAAGCCCCACAAAGGCCCTAATGTAGAAGTTGCGATGTGCCTCCACTGACGCCTTGTTCCGTTGGGGCCGCCAGTTTCTACCCGGAGTTCATTAGGGTTGGGGGTTTTAGGCTCAGAAGTGGAAAGTGTGGTGTATAAGATCTGGGCATCCAGGTGTGCACCCAACAATCGTGTCGCGAGTGTTTCTGGTTTAGGATTTGGGGCATGGGGAATCCGGGCAACCCTAAACCCTAAACCCCTAATCCGGGGTTGGGTGCTGGGCTTAGACCCAACAAAAGCCGTAAACCGCAGAGGTCTCTTCGAAAGAAGTCCCTGCTCAGAGATCGGACCCCAAACGTAACATTGCTCATATAGTAACGGCCCCCTCTATACTACCAAAACCACTAAAATGCCCCTTAACGCATGAGCCCCAAGCTCTAAACCTTAAACAAAAGAAACTAAACCCTGTCAGCTTGGCGGTTCTGGGTTCAGCTTCGAAGGCTGACTACTGCGACACGGTCTTGGACATCGCCGAGCTTTCCAACTACAACATTGGTTTTGATGAGCCTTGGATGCCCCCCGAGGAGCCCCGATCCTCTAAACCCTAAACCCTAAACCCCTAAACCCTAAACCCCTAAACCCCTAAACCCTAAACCCTAAACCCCTAAACCCTAAACCCCTAAACTCCTAAACCCCTAAACCCTAAGCTCTTTCCGGGGTCGGAGGACTGAAAGGGGGGGGGGGATTTGGGCTTACAGGCAGGAGCAATTTAAACTACAGCGGGAATCAGCTTTCTCGGGTCTAGGCTTCGCTATAACCCTCAACCCCTGAACCCTAAGCTATAAGCTTCACCATAACCCCAAACCCTACACCCTAAACCCTCAACCTTACACTCCTAAGCTGTAGACTTCGTGTGGTTTTGGGGTTTCGCAGCTCCAAGGCTTCTTGCCGTCGCGTTTCGCTCGAACAGCAGCCAACTGACAGTTGAGGAAACTCACAAAGCATTCCACAGGTTAAGACAGAAGCCAAAATATGTTTCAATATCATTCCTTGTAGGTTCCGTATCATAGGGGAGCCCAGAACCCTATTCCAATTATTCACGCCCCTACAGTATGTTCCTTCGGCTCTGCACTGCACCGCTAATGCAAGAGCCACCCTTTAGGTCCTTATATTGATCCTCAGGGGTTTTGGGTGTTACAGGACCTTGGTCTCTGAAATGAGGCGTGCGTCAACACCAAATCCCGAGGCCTAACGCCGAAGAACATATAGACCCAACCAGAACCCTTATGGTGCCCAGGGTTTAGGGTTTAGGGTTTTCAACCAGAACCCTTATGGTGCCCAGGGTTTAGGGTTTAGGGTTTAGGGGGAACCCCCAAAGGATAGCTCCAGATGCTGAGTGCCAAGGATGTTCGGGAAACCCTTCGCTGGGTAAACACAGCGGCCGGGCCATGTCTTTAGGGTTTAGGGTTTAGTAATTTAGGGTTTAGGGTTTAGGGGTTAAGTAGGGTTTAGGGTTTAGGCTTTAGTAATTTAGGGTTTAGGGTTTAATCCCTAGGAGCATCCCCAGGGTTCAGGACTTTTTGGGTCTAAGTCTCGGGATTGCAGAGCATTGCCACTGATTTGCAGAATGTTTCAGGATGTTTCAGGGCATGTAGCCAAACCTGACCCCCCCAACGCGGATTAGATCCAAACGTAGCCAAACCCACGTCCAAGACAACAAAGCGGTGGTGATGTCTCGGGTTTAGGGTTTTTGAGTTTAGGGTTTAGGCCTCAGGGTGTCTCTCATTGAACCCTACGCGCTGAGCAGCTCGAGGGGAGATGGCTGATTAGGGGTTTCCGGGTTTCAGGTGCAGCCAGGATTTAATGATGAGCGGACTCAAAACCTCAACCTCCCTAAACCCTAAACCTTTAGCCCCTAAACCTCTAAACCCTAAACCCCTAAATCCCAAAACCCCTAAATCCCTAAACCCTAAACCCTAGATCCCTAAACCCGAAATCCCTAAACCCTAAATCCCTAAACCCTAAACCCTAAGCCCGAAGCTTGTGATCAGGGGTGTGTGGGCATCGTTATGACTTGGGAGCCCGTACCCGAACCCATAAAGCCTTAAAGGGGCTTAGGGCTTGAGGGGTTTAGGGATTTGGGGCTTTTTGGGGTTTAGAGGTTTAGGGTTTTGGGTGTTTTTTTTGGGTTTTGGGTTTTGGGGTTTTGGGGTTTAGGGGTTTGGGGTTTAGGGGTTTTGGGGTTTAGGGAGGCCTAGACCCTAAACCCGATCTGGGGTCTTACATTGGTTCTGGTTGTCCTGTGTCTTGGGTCTCAATCGTTGCGGGTGCGAGCTTGAATCGCGTGGAGCCTTGCCTGCCTCGTGCGAGTGTGAGAGTCGAAAGCTCCCAAATCCCCTAAACCCCCAAACTCTAAGCCCCTACGCCCTAACGCCTAAACTCTAAA